CTGTGTTGAAGGCCGCGGAGAGGTCGAGGGTTAGGAGGACTGAATAGTGGCCATTAGCTTTGGCTGTTAGCAGGTCATTGGTGAGTTTGAGTAGGGCGGTTTCGGTGGAGTGTAGGGGACGGAAGCCAGACTGTAGGGGATCAAGGAAGTTGTTGTCAGTGAGGTGGGAGCTTAGGTGATTATAGACTAAGCGCTTAAGGAGTTTGGATGTAAATGGCAGCAGGGAGATGGGTCTAAGGTTGTTCAGGTCAGTGGGGTCCAGGGAGGGTTTTTTGAGTATGGGGGTGATGTGCACGTGGTTTAGGGGGGAGGGGAATGCGTCATTAGAGAGGGAGAGATTTAAGATGTGGGTGAGGGAGCGTAGGATGGAGGAGGAGGGTGACCATAGGAGTTGTGTGGTGACAGGGTCAAGGGGGCAGGTGGTGAGGTGGGCTTCGGAGAAGACCTTAGTGACCTCTTCAGTGGTAGCAAGGTCGAAGGAGTGGAGTGTTGGGGGGGTTTTTAGTGTGCGGGATGTTAGGTGGGGGGGGGGGGTCTGGGCAGTTGCGAGGTTAGAGGAGGGGAGTGTTGAGGTGGTTATCATGGGAGGGAGGCTAGGTGGGGTGGAGGTCTGAGCATTGGTGATGTCCCTACGGATTGCGTTGATCTTGTTTTGGAAGTGGTTAGCAATCTCGTGGGCGGTGAGTGAGGTACTGGGTGGAGGTGGGGGGGAGAGAGTAGGGAGTTAAAAGTGGAGAAGAGCTGGCGAGGACTGGAGGAGAGAGTATTGATGAGGGTTACAAAGTAGGCTTGTTTGGCAGTGTGGAGGGAGGAGGTGTAGGTGAGGAAGGCAGATTTGTATAGGGTGAACGCTTGTTGGCATCTGGTTTTGCGCCATAATCGCTCCAGCACATGACTGCGTCGTTTAAGATTCTTGGTGTGGTCATTCTGCCAGCGTTGAAGCGGTTGGGGTCTAATGCTATGTGTGGTTAGGGGTGCTAAGGAGTCTAGGGACAGCGAGTTGTTATAAGCAGTAGTCGCCAGGTCAGGGCAGGACAGTGGAAGGATACTGTCATAAAGTCCGTCAGCCGCAGAGTGGAGAGGGGCTGGGTTCAGGTTGCGGAGGTTACGGCTGGTGATGGTTTGACATTTGGGGGGGAGGTGTTTGAGGACTGGGAGATGGAGAATGTAATGAGGTTGTGGTCAGAGAGAGGGAAAGGGGTGTTGTGAGGTTGTGGGTGGTGCAGAGATGAGAGAAAACAAGGTCCAGGGTGTTCCCGTCGGAGTGGGTGGAGGACTGTGTACACTGTGTGAGTGCATAAGAAAAGGTTAGGTGGAGGAGTTGGGATGTAGCCGGGTTATTGACGTTGATAGGGATATTGAAGTCTCCAAGGATGATGGTGGGGAGCTCTGAGGAGAGGAAGAAGGGTAGCCATGCGGAGAAGTCGTCGAGGAAGCGGGATACAGGTCCAGGAGGCCGATAGATTACTGCAATCCTCAGAGGGGTAGGAGAGAATAGCCAGATGCAGTGGGCCTCAAAGGAAGAGAAGGATAGAGAGGGGAGGGTTTGGGAGGACCTGGAAGGTGTTCAGCGGTGACAAGAGCATGCCAACCGCACCACCTCTACGACCGCTCGGTCTGGGTAAATGGGTCCAGACGAGACCTCCATAGGAGAGGGCTGCAGGGGAGGTAGAGTCAGTGGCCTGGATCCAGGTTTCTGTGACCGCTAGGAGGTTGAGGGAGTGGGAGACAAAGAGGTCATGGATGGCGGTGAGCTTGTTGCAAACCAATCGGCTTTCAGGAGTGCACACGAGAATGGAGGGGTGGTTGTGGGGAGCAGGGGGGACAGGTATTAGGTTGAGGGGGTTTGTGGAGGTGGTGAGGGGCCAGGATTCGGGGAGATGTCCCCGGCGGTTAGGAGAAGAAGAAGGGTGAGAAAGGTGGCATGGGAGCGGGATGTGCAAGAGCGTGTGAGTCTGCTAGTGGTGGCGTGTGGGTCAGTGGGAGAGTGGAGTATTAGGAGGAGGTGGTGAGAGCCGTAGTGGGGAGATGGAAGCAGTGAGGTTGCGATGTATAGTTGTTTTGGAAGAGTAGGGGGGTAGAGAGAGGAAAGTACAAATCCACTTTAAATCTGGCCATACGTGGCTCCGTTTTTTTAATTCAGCCAGCGGGCTCCTATAGAATGCACACTCTTTGCCTTCCCGTTGGAGGGAGGCTTGTCATATGCGCTATGCATTCCCTCTTCTCCTTTATGTCCTCCCGCGCTGTGTAAGTGTGCCCTGAATCATGGGACATATAGTCTCTAAAGAAGGCAGGGAAGTGCTGTACATGGATGCATGTGTTACAGGATTATTGGTGATCTGAGTGCGAGGTATGACAAAGATGCTGCCTGCAGTAGCTGTATCAAGAGAAGAACAAAAAACACACTTTGCTCACTAGCTCATTCTGAGTTTACCCACTTCAAGTCCGGACACTTTTATCCCCTTCCTGTCCAGGCCAATTTTTAGCTTTCAGTTATCACGCTTTGAATGACAGTTGCGCGGTCATGCAACACTCTACCCATATGAATTTTTTACCATTTTTCTGAGACAGATAAAGCTTTATTTTTGGTGGTATTTATTCACCACTTTTTTTTTTTTTTGCTATGTAAATGAAAAAGTCCAAAAATTTTGAAAAAAAAGTGTTTTTCTTATAAAATTTTGCCAATAAATAATATTTCATCATAAATCTTGGCCAAAATTTATTCTGTTATCTTTTTAGTAAAAAAAAAATAACCCCAATTAGTTTATAACCACAAATTATAATTTTTAAACTTTCTTTTACATTTTTATTTTTTTTTTTATATTATTATTTGTGGATTTTTTTGAGGTTTTTTTACATACTGTCACCCTAGCAGTACAGGGTCACCATGGTGACCCTGTACTACCTGTGGGGGGTGATGAAGATTTTTTTTTTTTTTTTTTTTACACATTTTTTTTTTACACACTCATAAGGCTGTAAAAGCAATCATTTCTCCTTCTCTCTGGCTGCATTCTTGCAGCCATTGACAACTTCTGTGTGAGCTGTGATTGGTCACAGCTTGTCACATGGTACAAGGCTGTTGTGAATAGCCTTGTACCATGTGACCTCTGTGATCATTCACAGATTTCACACGTAGTAAGCAATGATGTCAGAAGTGACATCTTGCTTACTACTCTGCATGTGATCACTGATTGGCCAATCAGTGATCACAGGATCGGGACCTCGCACAGAGGTCTCGTGCGACAATTTGTGTTCCACTGTGTCCGGAGGTCACAGGGGGCACCGGATCGCGGTGCTGTGCGCTCCCAGGGAGCGTGTACAAGCAGGGGGCAGGGAGGCCGTTTATAAACGGCCACCCGCCCCTGCACGGCCACCCTCCGGCAGTTTATATACAACGGCCGGACGGGAGGTGGTTAATGTGACAAACAGAAAAGACAAACAGAACAGTGGGTGCAGGTCACATGGAGAAGTGCATCAATTTGTGTTACAGTTACCATTACTAACATGTAGCATTCTTAAAGAGAACAAACACAAAACTGAACAAAGATAGCATAAACCAAGTGTGACTAACCTGTATCAAGAGAAGAACAGAAAACAAATGTTGCTCACTTGCTCTTGCCGAGTTTAATGCGAGCTTGCTGGTTGTTAGTCTCCTAAAGTCACACTACAAATCATTAAAGCTCACTCTAGCGATAGCCTAGTAATTGCATTACTGGGAGGTTTATTCATTTACTTGCTACACATGTACTATCCATAAACTGTGAAACCAAACTGGGGCCCTATGCATGATGTTGCACCCAAGAGTCAATCAAAGGTATGTTTTAATTGTATATATTAACTTAATATCTACTTATTTATCTTACTAATCTACGTCTACTTGTGTGCCATCTTTTACATAAGCCTTTAGTGAAACTTTAAAGCTGAACTGCAGGCAATTTCATTTAAATATACTCTTCAAAAGCCAAAATGGATATACAATCCACTTTGTGTGCACCAAATCACCTTACAAACCCAGACATTACCTTTTAAAAGTAGTGAGGACAATATCACTGTACTGTACATATCCTGTGTAGGATCGCCAGGTGAAAATAGAAGAAAGGAAGCCTAAAAAAGAAAACTAATGCAGCCACCACATCCAAGGATTTGCGAGCTGCAATATGATAAATATTTGCTTATGGGTTTAAAACTGCTTTAAGTGATACATATATCAGAAAACAGTATGTAGGTAAATGGAGACAATGCCCAGATTTAGATGCCTGTTAAAATCCATGTTAAACCAGATAACAAAATAATATTAGTTAAAGTTATTAGATAAAGTTAAAGCAGCACATGGAATTGAAAGCAAAGTATATGTGAAGTCATCAGCCATGCAACTCCCATGAGTGTGTTTTGGCTTCTGTAAGGATTTCCTTTTTAAATGGGCTGAGTGGCGGAACAGGACAATGGCCATTATGTACATGAGTACATTTAAGAACCCCCATGATGACATGGCCTGCAGAATCCAGCACCATTAATAATCAGCCCATCACTTCCTTTGTCTTGGCTGCCCTACACTTCTATTAGAATTTTATGAGTCGTTCGAGTTCTACTTGACCAAGAAGGTAACACAAGAGGATAATGTACAGTGCTAACATCGCTGAATGGGAATGAAGTACAGATTCACTGCTGTTTTACCTCTAACATACAAAATGAAATGGAAAGAAATGGCATAAACCTGGCTGGCAAATGAATAAATTATTCAATTAAACACATAAAACATCTCTAGTTCTCCCCCCGAGGTCTTATTTTTGTAAATTATTAACACACATTAGTTCTCGGTTGCTGATCAATTATCTTTTAATGTTTCATGCATGTCGTATACGTGCATTTGCTTTCACATATAAACAAAATGATGTTTGTGTTAAGTAATACTGTATTATACACCAAAATAAATTCATGTGTGTATATATATATATATATATATATATATATATATATATACTGCCAAAAGCATTTGGACACCCCTCCAAATTATTGGATTTAGGTGTTCCAATCATCTCCATGGCCACAGGTGTATAAAATCAAGCACTTAGGCATGCAGACTGCTTCTACAAACATTTGTGAAAGAATTGTGATAGGGGCCACCTGTGCAATAAGTCCATCTGTGACATTTCCTTGCTACTAAATATTCCACGCTCAACTGTTAGGGGTATTATAACAAAGTGGAAGCAACTGGGAACAACACCAACTCAGCCTCGAAGTTGTACACCACGTAAAATGACAGAGTGGGGTCAGCACATGCTGAAGCGCACAGTGCACAGAAGTTGCCAACTGTCTGCAAAGTCAATAGCTAAAGAGCTCCAAACTACAAGTGGCCTTCAGATTTACACAACAACAGTGCATAGAGAGCTTCATGGAATGGGTTTCCATGGCTGAGCAGCTGCATCCAAGCCTTACATCACCAAGTGTAATGCAAAGCGTCGGATGCAGTGGTGTAAAGAATGCCGCCACTGGACTCTAGAGCAGTGGAGACGTGTTCTCTGGAGTGACACATCACTCTCTCTGGCAATCCAATGGATGTGTCTGGGTTTGGCAGTACTTGCCTAACTGCATTGTACCCAATGTAAAAGTTGGTGGAGGAGGGATTATGCTGTGTGGTTGTCTTTCAAGGTTTGGGCTTGGCTCCTTAGTTCCAGTGAAGGAAACTCTTAAGGCATCAGAATACCAAGACATTTTGGACAATTTCATGCTCCCAACTTTGTGGGAACAGTTTGGGGATGGCCCCTTCCTGTTCCAATATGACTGTGCACCAGTGCACAAAGCAATGTCCATAAAGACATGGATGGGCGAGTTTGGGGTGGAGGAACTTGACTGGCCTGCACAGAATCCTGACCTCAACCCGATAGAACACCTTTGGGATGAATTACAGCGGAGACTACGAGCCAGGCCTTCTCGTCGTCCGACATCAGTGCCTGACCTCACAAATGCTCTTCTGGAAGAATGGTCAAACATTCCCATAGACACACTCCTAAACCTTGTGGACAGCCTTCCCAGAAGAGTTGAAGCTGTTATAGCTGCAAAGGGTGGGGCCAACTCAATATTGAACCCAACTGACTAAGACTGGGATACCATTAGATTTCATGTGCGTGTAAAGGCAGGCGGCCCAATACTTTTGGCAATGAAGTGTGTGTATGTGTGTATATGTATATATATATATATCACAGTTATAAACATGGAAGAAAACAATGTTGTTATTTATTGATCTCACTGTTTCTTAACACAGTATTTAGAGTATACCATAGTATATTTGTTACTTTATAAATTGCTAATATTAATTTTACTGCAATGTATGCATTAGTATGATACCCAAAAAGGATGGGGGTGTGGGTGGTCAAAGTCAGCTAGAATTTTACTTTAAAATATATGTACACCCAAACTCTAAAATCTATAAAAGCTTTAACATGTTAAAGTAATTTTAAAAGTAGCATTTTAAAGGAATTTTAACCACATCCCGCCTAGTCCTGGTGCCCACTTAACTGGGCTATTACACCTAGCAACCAGGAAGTTTTGCCTTTGTTGTCACAGTGATCACATGATCAGGAGCCAGTCCCACCAGCTTCCAATCATTATTAGAGACCAGTAGCTATAGCTCAGTCACTATGCTGGGAGCACAAAGAGAGTGCACTTTTAGCACAGAAACCTCTGCTGTCCATTGATGCACATGTGCGGCATGTGGACACTACATCCCACCTTCTTTGCTACTACACATATGCATTACGCAGGCGGCAAAAGGATAAAGGCAACAGTCAGTCTTGATAAATCTGAAGCTTTCATTACTCAACATGTCATGAAGATCCATGTTCAGGTCTCTCTATTATAGAGAAACAATGTTCTGCCATTTTCTCCCATTTGTTCTCCTGTGTTGTCACCTTGTCACATGCTCTTACAATGGAGGCTGCAACTAGCTGTGCCAACACACATTGCCCAGGGACATTTTGTCATTGTCACTGTGCATACATTTAGACAAGAAGTTAATGAAAAGAGGCTGTAGAAGATATAAAGTACTGACCTGTAACAAAAGATGAAAAAAAGTGATAACCGCATTTACTAAAAGAAAAACATGGCAGTTGTGTATGATATATACGGGTTGATTTTCTAAAACTGGAGTGCAAAATCTAGTGAAGCTGTGCATGGTAACCAATCAGCTTCCAACTTCAGCTTGTTCAATGAAGCTTTAACAATAAAACCTAGAACCTCGAGCTGTTGTTACTTTTTTATTTATTTCATCTATTTATTTATTTCATTAAATATTGGAACATGTTTTAAGCACCTGAATGTTTTAAATGCTTTTATCAGGACTATAAAAAATATGTTTCATGGTATGTTATCTTTTTGCATTGACTTATATTTTCCAAATCTTTAACAAGACTCTTTTTTCACCAACAGTAACATACAGACAATGTATACAATAATAATTTACCCAGATGCTATCATAGATCCGTCTTAAATTTTCCCCTCTACCGATACTGAAGAAGTGGCTAGGGGCAATAGTAATAAAGTGGAGAGAAGAATACTACAGCAGAATTTACAGGGATAAATATATTGAAAGGGAAATTGAAGGCTCCCCAGGGTTTAGAGCCTCTAAGGCAGAAGCAGCAAACAAAGGTTATTTCCATCTCATAGAGTCCGTGAGAAGGTGTAAAAAACTGCTATCCTTCTATAAATGGTTGGCATCAATTATATTGAATGTTGCTGGTAGTTAGTCTTCAGAAGAAACAAAGATAAATATGACCGTTAGATGTAATGAGGAAAGGTATGCTCTAGGTGTTGTTTAGGAACAAGAGAACATGTTTTAGAATCAAATTGAATATGGTGTAGCGCTACTCCAGTAGGGGCCGCAGGTTATAGCTGATCCTTCCCAAATAGTACAGAGGCTGCCTACCACCACAAATCCATAGACATAAGCTCCAATAACTCAGTCTAGGGAATGTCTTTTAAGATTTATTGCTTGAAGAACTTTAAAAAGGGAAGGGGTTAGGGCATAGGATACTCCAAAACGATCTTTAAATAATAATTAGAGAACAATCTTCTCTTTAGATAATTGTGACATTAAACAGTCTAAGGTCTCACAGCTGAAGTCCAGGAGGCAAGTCTCTTTGGCATCTGGTTACCTTGTACCATAGCACAATTATTGGTAGCTGATGCAATTTCTAGAACATTGTAGAGTCACAGGGATCAATTTAAGGTCTTTACTCACAAATCTCCAGGACAGCTGCCACCTTCCAGCTTCCTTCAGAAATGGTCCAGTGAGGAAGACAGTTCTCCAGGCCAAATGCCTTGTGGTAAGGTCCTACACCCAGCTTCTAACAGGATCCATCCAGGCCTTCAGCCGTGGCACCACTGAGGCCTCCAGAACAGCTATGAAGTCCATAGGCTGCCTAAGGGCAGCAACCACTCAGGGTTTGGAATCCTTGTGGGAAGATAACTCAGCTATCCAGTGCTTTAGACTGTTTATCACCTTTTAGACATTTATTTTCAAGGACTGGCTGGAGCATGATAAATATTCAGGTTGGTTATTTGAATCTCCCTCCCTAAACTCTGGAAGCTTCTTCTGAAGACATGGGAGAACAATCAAATTCCCATCCTGTATAGCTATGAACAGATGAAGACAAACAATTAATGCTCCCTTGATTACAGAAGGAGCCAAAAGCTAAATTTGCCTATCATCCTGCATTTGGAGGGTGCTACAATGGTAAACTATACACACTGGCAGATCAAAATTTTATAGAGTTTCTCACATTAGAGTGTAAGGGGGCAAAAATAGCATAACCAACCACTTGGATTGAGGAGCAGGATAATAAGGTGTCAATATATTACTCCCAATAATGGCTGAGCCTCCAGAGGAAATACTGACCTCTTTAGAGCCATGGCTTAGGCATTCCCCACCATTTGCAAGGCAGCATGAAGGTGTCAGCAACTTAGCATGTAGCCTAGTCTTTCAAGGTAATAAAAACAGGGTGATCCCTAATTCTTCACTTTTCTTCCAAATATTTAATTATAGCAAATCACAAGAGTCTTCAGTCCACATTCCAAACAAGATGCTTTCTGAATGATGTTTGCTTGTTCTCACTTTGCTTGCAGGGGTTTTCCTTCAGGTTCTTTGATTTCCTCCCACACTCCACAGACAGGCTGGTATATTAATTGGCTCCTGTCTAAATTGGCCATAGTATGTATGTATGTAAATTATTGTCCTTAAACAGTAAGCTCCTTGAGGGCAGGGACTGATGTGAATGTTCAATATGTAAAGCACTGTGTAAATTGTTGGTGCTATTTAAATACCTATAATAAAAATAGATCTGTATGTGGAGAATCACACAATTTACTAATTTAAGCAAGCATATTATATGATTTTTATGCATACTAGACAAATCTGCATGTATGTATTCAGAAGACTCAATGCATTTACAATTAGGAAATTTACCCCTTCACCAAGTTTTCACGTACATTTTCTCATCAGTGCTAGTTATTGCCACATGGGATGTGTGTTGTGGCTATGTTCCTGCTTTCAGAAAATTGGTATTTATTGAGACAGGTGGGATGGGCTCTAGGGGTGATCTAAAGGACCAGCCAGTACAACAGATCATATATGCCAGCACTTTAAGGTTCTGAGCTTCCAGCCAAATTTCATTCCATTTCATGACCATTGGTGGTCATGATCTTCTATCCAATAATTGGTGGTCCTGATCTTCCATTCAAGTAAAGGTTTATACTTCTGTTTTAATATTAATTTTAAGGTTTACATTTGACTCTAGCCCATGTTTACTTCAAATACCTGATATGAGTCTAGATGCAGTTTTCCTTTTTTTAACATGATTGCATATCTTAAAGCGGAGTTCCACCCAAAAGTGGAAGCTCCGCTTATCTGCCCCCTCAGCCCCTCCTTCCCCACTGACACATTTGGCACCTTTTTGGGGGGCAGGGGGAGCAGGTACCTGATTTTAACAGGTACCCTCTCCCATTTCTGACACAGTTTCGCCACACCAAATTAAGCCCGG